GCTTTTCTGTGTTACAATTCTGACATGAGATCCTTTTGTATGTTATGATTACAATAATAAGAAAATTGGGCAATGAATTTACAACTTCTTCAATGAAAATTACAATTGTCCAGTCAGTGAAGTGGAGGATAGATAGATAACTACAATCCTGTGTGGGGGCTCAAGGCAACGTGCAGAATAGAGGTTGTACAACAACTTTGACAGGTGTGGAAGAGAACTGATAACAAAGGCTGTCCAAGGAGACAAGAGCAGAAGTCAAATGGAGCACGAAATCTCCGTGTGATGACCACCCTGACTGGAGAAGTGAGAGAATAGAAGCAACTCACGGCTCTGATTGGATGAGTGCTTGGGTGGGCAGTTAGTGCCTGGACGAGAAGGAGAATTAAGTGTTCTGTTGACATTTAGGGGGGTGGAAAGTTACAGGAGGGAGTTTAGAAATGTATACAAGGGATGTCAGAACCTGCAATAAAGGATTTCAATTGCTCATGTATCTGAGTCAATTTCAATTGCTCATGTATCTGCAGTGTCTGAGGACATTGCAATCTTGTGTTAGCTAAATGGTATCTGTGTATAACAAATACACATAAAATTACATTAAAAAATATCGGCTACTGTTTTTTGTTCTATTCACTTTTTTCCTTAATTTACTTGATCTAGCGGGAAACTATAGAAATTTGATCTCATTTTGAGACTACTCTTATTTCCTTGGTAAAGTTTCAATCTTTACCAAACTTCAGCCATTTGGCTCCTGACCATGTTTTTGCACCGTGAGAATGTGATACAGGCAGTGTCTCAGGCTTCAGAAACCAGCTCTTTAAAAGTGGAAGAAATGATCTTGCCAGTAATTCTGCTCAGAAAAGATGAAGTGTAGAAGTAGACAATCCCACGACTCTGATTTTGTTTGTGCAACTTCATTGTAGTCAAGATCATATATGGGGAAGGAATTCTCAGTTTCCTGCAAATGGGGAATTAAGGGGGTCATCAATTACCATCAGATGATGTGCCTTAGATTTTCCATCCTCTGTAAAGCATGTGTCACTGTTAGATAGAAACAACTAGACTGTACTAATGATTTTGAAAACCAACAGAACAGATTTTGGTGGTCTGCCATGAGAAAAGAAGGAAATTAACAACTGGTGAAACCTACAATTCATTTTGGCAGATATCTATAGCTGGATATCTGAAATGATGAAGTTAAAACAGCAGTCCTCTAAAGTACATATTGTACTTTAGTGTATTGACTGACACTGACTTGGGTAAGAGGAGCTCATCTTGAAATCAACAGAAACCTTAACTTTTTTTCAGTGGTTTCTGTTTGTTGTTGGGCTGGGTGGAGGGGAAGGACGCGGCAACTGGTCAGGTGCTTACCCCAGCTCTGATTACCACATCATGGTAAAATGCAACACCTGTAACTTTCAGTGTAAATTGAAGAACAGATTTTGTTTTTCTTCCAGAGTTATCAGTTTACGCCATGTGAGAGTAGTTTTCTTGCTTAATTCAATTAATTTTCTTTTCTCTAGTTCTTACCAGTTGGGAAGTACTTGCATTACAAAGGTAACTCAAGATAACAAAGGTAAAAATGTAGGGAATTGGCTTTTAATATAACAAATCCTTCATGACTTATTCTCTTTTCCTCCAAATAAATACATTCCTTAATTCCCTTTGTTTGAATGTTATTTAAAGAACATATCTTTGTTATATCTTGTGATGATAAGTTTTACTGGTCAACTGCAACTTTAACAGTTTCTTGTGATCCTGATGAGTGGTTAAATCTTATCAAGTTGATTACTATCCCATTTATCTCTTCTGTAATGCAATATGGGGTAAACAGAACTGTTTATACTTCCTAATCTAATCTATTCTAGTGTCTAATCTAGCATTACATTATGTATTCTCATTTTTTACTATATGAACATACAGGCTGATGACTGAATATCAGTTATTTCTGCTTCAGGAACTCCATGCTTCTAATTGTTCTCATGTCCTTCCATTTTTTTCTGTCCATGCTGCTTTTTTTTTTGCTTTTTTTTTTTTTTTGTGAGAAAATAATCCAGTTTTTCAAATGAATATAGTGGTAGTATTTGGCACAATTTCAATTCTTTAAAATTGTTGTTAATTAGATAAGTAGACTGTTATAATATGCTCTTGACTTGGCTTTTGTAGTAAGAGGTGAAAGCTGAAAACAAGTCTGCTGCTGAGGAAGAACAAATGAATACATCAGGACCAGGCTCAGTGGAATACAGCTAAAATGCATTTTAAAGTGCATTTTCCTCAAATCTTAAAGCACGCACATGGAGGTGCTTGCTCCCAGTTATGCAGCAAAAGTGATTGAACTTCATTTCTATTTACGTTTGCTTGTTTTTTTGATTTTTTTAAATGAGGCACTAAACAACGTGAGTTTTCACCAAACTATGAGAGACATAGGTGCTGCTAGAGTGTTATTTCCACAGTTAAGAAAAGAGAGATCTGGAAGGAATAAAGGAAGGCACTGGAATAAAAGACAGTAAGTAGTGTTATATGTTTTCTAATATTATTTTGAATTTCTTAAATTTAGAATAACTTAATAACAACAAAAAAGTGCATATGTTTTACTTCTTGTGTTTTTCACATCAGTATTTTATTGGCTAAGGAAACTAGCAGACTGCAAAATTTCTATTTTGCATTTACTTTGATTAGGGTACAACTTATTGTTCTTGAAACAAGGAAACAGCCTGAGCTTTTCACAGGTCCTGATGTATGGTATGCTCACAAAGATTTACAAATACTGTGTTTTAAAGGCAGAAAACTTTTCATAAAACAAACAAAAGTAGATCAGCCGAAAATATATCTGAAAGTAGAAACTTTTGAAGCCTTAACTATAGCAACATGTAGCATAACCTCTTATTTAAACTTTACAACACGTTGCTTCTAACAATGCTATGTCTGTTAGCTAGTTAGCTCACCTGATCTGGCTTGCTTCTTTTTATGCTTAATGACATCCACCTGTATCATGACACCAGAGACAACACAGATGTTCCTGTAATCAAATTGAAATGAGAACTTTCATCAGCTGCAAAGAAGTCTGTCTTAAGTGTATATTCTCTTGTGTTATTATCCTGCACTTCGTGTTTGGATTCCAGTATTGTCCTTGGTGTAGGGAATTAGTATTATCAGAGAGTTTGGATTATGTGACTGTGATGTTGTATGGATCATGCTTTTGTTACTACAATAAATGGTTTAGCTTATTTTTTTCTCCTTTACTTGAACTGCACATTATATTTTCCAATATAATTTGGCAAAATATTTCTTTTTAGAGCTCTACACCAAATGGTGTTGTCCATGCTGAGTATATTCTGTTCTTTGGCATTAGTAATAGGTCCCTGCAGATGGTCTACTACTCTAAGGCAGGCTTTTATTAATTCTGCTACAAATTTTATTGCAAGCCGAAATCATTACAATATTGTTGCAGCCCTAACGTAAATCTGTGATTATTCCTTGGAAAGGGGATTCGAGGCTACTGGTCTTTTGTCAAAATTATTTTGGTTCTTGCAGGCTATCACGAGGCCTGCAGCCTCTGCTAGTGAATGAGTCACAAAAAGAGAAATTGGAACCTGATGTTCTTGTCTTTTCATACAGAGAGTGATGGAATGACATGGCGTTTAAAAAACCATCAGAAACTGACACTACTTCTAACAAAAGGCCTCTCATCGTTACAGGACTGAGACAGAACTGGCATAGCAATACAGAGACATCTCTATAAGATATACTCTTATCACACACAGAATCAAAATTAAGCAATCGATTTTGAAAATGGACACTTGTGTGTTGAAGCATTCAGTGTGATGAGCCACATTTAACAGTGTTTATGCATTTTCTTCCAGATACAAACTTGCTAGCTGTTCAGGAGCAAAAAGAAGCATTTTCTGTTTGCTTTTTAGATCAAGTTAAATTATTTGTACACAAAACCATGTTTCTTCTTGTCAGGTGTCTCCAAGGACTGTTTTTCTATCCACTGTTTCCATGTTTTTAACAGAACTTTCTTCAGGTAAATATGTCACTTTGAAAAGCAGCTGAAGTTTGCATTTTATTTAAACTTTCAGCTCACAAAAAGTACTTGCCCTGGATTGTAGTTGTTAAAGCAGTATGTAGATACAGTAACACTACATCTCTTCCTTGAGAAAACAAACACAAAACTACTGTACTTTTACTGTGATTTGCATTTTAGCATTGTTTTGAACGGTTGCATCTCTGAATAAGTATTCACAACTGCAAAGCATTTAAACTAGTTTTGGTTAATGCAGATACAGCAATGAAGTGATGGTTAGTTCTACATGTGATCTGTTGAAATCAATTTCATTAGACAAAGTTTTAAACTGAAATTTCACAAAAGCTGTTTTTTCTCAGTAACATGTGAGCAAGAGAGGAGTAAGATTATAGTAAGATAATGGCTTTGACTCGCTCATTAAAAACACTGTCACAGCAGTGAGGTGAAGAAAAGGCAGGTAAAACACACTGATATTCTTCATAGGGGAAGATATGGAGTTCCATTGAAACTAAGGACTGAGGATGATCACTTATAATAGCACCAAGAGCAACTAAACTCACAGAAAATGCAATATGAAAAAGGGAAAACAGAGGGGGGAATAAAGCAGTTCCTATGATAAGAGCTTAAACCTTTACAAATGTTTACTTCGCTCCTCTTAAAACAAAAATAAAACGCAACCTCAGGAATAATTTTTAATGTAATTTGTGGTTTTCTAATTAAAAAAGCCTTATATAGCACTAATCTCTCTGTGCTTTTTTAGTATTGAAGGTAATATGGATGTCTTCTTAATTACTTTTGCATATAAGCCAGAATTTGGGTTTAGATTTCTTTTTCCTGTATACGTATGCACCTACAGCAAATGGACTTTAGATTCCATGTTCTCAAGCACCTGGCTTTGAGCATTTCTGGCCTTCGGCAAACAGTGACAAGGAAGCAATTTGTCCTCTGCAGCTTTACGCAGACAGAGGTGTATTTTTAGGCCATCTCACAATGAGTAACGCACTTTCCTTGCAGACATCTACAGGGTGGGGACTGGAACCCAGGGCTGTGCGGTGAATGGACGAAGAACGCTCGGAGAAAGCTGCGGTACGTGTGCCGCTGCCGACACAGCTCGCTTGCTGCTGCCCCCGGCGGCAGGCCGCCCGGCGCTGCTGAAGCCCGGCTCCTCGGGAATGCTGGGAATGTTGAGTCAGGGACTGGCAGCCCAGCCTGCCAGGCTCGGAGCTGATTGAGGGACACTCGCTGGGGGACAGAAAGACGAGGGACGGGAGCGCGCAGCCCCCCCAAGGCAACAGCGAGGTCCCTCTGCCTCGCCCCGTGGCTGCTCGGCGGCCCCGGCTCTCCCTGCTGCCTCCTTCCTCCGCGCAAGAGAGATGTCAGCTGAACGTGATGTTGTAAAATCCATGTGAGGACGAAAGACAGATGCAACGATTTGAAAGGTGAGAACCTTGAGGGAGAATATGGCTGTAATGCATTGCTGTGGATATATTGTGATTAAGGCAATTGCTAGTATTGCTTTCTGCAACTGTCTATAGTTGAAACTGGAAATGAAATTGCGGAGATTTTTTTTTATATTGCCTCAGAAATACATGGTAATAAATGGGACCAAGTGCACATCTTCTGTAAGAAAGTGCCTCTCCCTACAGAATCGTCAGCCAGAAACCCTTCTTGCAATTTTTCCTAAAAGCAACCGTAGGAGTCTCTTTGGAGTCTCTTTTTCTTGCTTTTTTTTTTTTTTCTTTTTTTTTTTTTTTTTTCTTGCTTGCTTTTATTTATTTGTTGTCGGTGGTGGTGGTGGTGTGTGCATGCTCTCCATTTAACAATATTATTGCTATTAAAGTTTTCTAGAATATAACTGCTAGGCTTTGGAAATTCCTGGCTTTATCTGTGAATGCTGGGTAATGTTTGATGTAAAATTGTGTCAGGAAAAAAAAAAAAAAAGAGAGAGATTTCTGTTCTCTTTTAGTGAAGGGAAAGCAGAAATAAACAGCATATTATTTTGTAGTTATATAATTAATGAATACTTCCAGTGGTTGCTCTTTTGTGGTGCTGTGTGATTTTTGTTTTCTAAGATCATTTTAGGTAGGACAAGAGCAATGCAAACGATTCATTCCACGCACATATTCACCGAGGGTACACATGTATTTTGCTGAGAGCAATGGATAGCGATATGACGGAGGTGTTGCACATATACATATGGATATATTATTAGCGTGTGATTGATTTCTAGGCGGCTACCTGCTAAGCCCGTGATGGATGGATGGGAATCTACTCCCTTAGCGGCGAATTGATTATTTCCCGTTTGATGGACAGCCAGGCCGGCCACTTGCGCTGGCAGATAGAAGCTCGTTGCAAATAGGCACAGCCAATAACTGCAGCCAAGAGGAGGGCAGATCCCACTTGTCAGGGTTAGTTTTCTGGTCGGCTTTTTAAATCAGTGCTTTCGCTGAACTACTTGTTCGAGATTTGTGGGTTTTTTTTTCTTTTTTCCTTTTTTTTTTTTTTTTTTCCCCCGTCTTATTCCCGCGCCCCCTCCCCGCTGTGTAAATCCCGGCTGCCCCTTCCCGGCAGCCCCGCCGGCACCAGGCCCTGCCTGCTGCCGCTCCTTCGAAGGGCGGGGAAGGTTCTCCCCCCCCCCCTCCATTAAGTGACACTTAATTTCCCTGTGGCGACACTGAGGACGGAGACGATCCTCCGCCTCGCCCCCGCCCGCCTGAGGGAGGATGCTGCGGGGACACGTTACCCCTCCCGCCTCAGGACAACTCCCCAGCGCTGCCCCAGAGGCTCTTTCCAGCCCTGCAGGCAGAGAGGCGCGGGTTGGACCCCCTTCCCATCACAACCACCGTCCCGGCTCGCTCCCAGCTGTGGAGGCGCCGCTCCTCACAGGTGCTCCTGTGGCAACCTGCTGGGAGCACTGCCTTGAATTTTAATGAGAGAAAGCACTACCCCGTGCCCCGTCACCGCTCGGGAGAGAGGCTCCTTGTATCTACCTGACTCTCACGGCCGTACGAGCTGCCTGCGAAGAGAAGGAGGAGGAAGGCGGGTGGCCGCGCTCTCTCCAGCACTCGCAGCAGGGCCACGAAGCGGCGCTTGCCTCGCCCCTCCCTGCGTGCCTGGCGGGAACGCCCCGCTCCCAGCGCTGCTCGAGGGCGGAGGCCGGCGCGCGGCGGTCCCGGAGAGGTTTCTTCAGCGCCCCGCGGCCGCTTCACGGGGTCACCGCGCTGCTTGCCCGCGGTCAGGCAGTCCCCAGCTCGTTGCTGCTGGGTGTTTTCTTCACCTGCCCGGTGGGAGAACGGAGGGTTTTGTAGCCCCCGTCCGTTTGAGTGGTGCCTGTCCTCGTTTCTTCCTTCCTTGAAAGCTAAAAAGACGCCTTTTTAAGATCCGCTTTTGCACGCGGGGAGCGTGTGATGGTAAGTTATTCCAGTTCCCTCGTGAAATACGTGTATGTGGTGGAAGATTTCTTATAGCTTTAACTGTAACAACTCAGCTCAAAACGCAAGGCTTGGCTTCGTGCTGGGATGTTATGCGTGGGAACTCCACATCTCAGTGCTTTGGAGGAGCCTCGCCATTACTGTTCCTGTGGTGTTGTCGTGAGAGAGTAGGTACTAAAAGCACCGGCTCCAGCAGACGGCTGGGGCACGAGATTTTGGAGGTGGTGCTGAGGTGAGAAAGGCTGTTTCTGTGCTGGGGAGAGCATGCTTTGGCAGCCAGCCGTGACATTCCTGTAGGTCCTGGTTTAGGTGGTGGGGCTCTCCAGCATGGAGATGGGTTTATGAATAGAAAGCATCTCCTGTCTTGAAATAAAGCACATCTCTTTGATCAGTAGGTGTTTCAGCTCCTGTACTGTTTTCCATTCTTCCCAAAAGTGAAGGAGAAGGTTGATATGCTGAGACATCTTGTCTCTTCCATTCCTGCTGGGTGAAATTGGTTCCTTGCATTAAGAATTCATTTATTTGGTCTTCCTGAGCATAGGTCTCTTTATCTTCTGGCAGTTTCTGGCTGAGTTCATTATTAATGCATTATACTCTCTTGACTCTCTTTGGAGGACACCCATCTCACCACTTTTCTCTCCTATGAGTTCCTCAGCTCTCTTAACTTGCTGGTAGTCAAATGCTGCATCAGATTCTGATGAATGATAGCATAAGATGTGATAATTCATGCTAGCAGCCTCCTATCTTTTGCACGCTCTGAGGGCTGTAGGTGAGAAGGGAAAGGAGTGGCCAATATTAGTAGCAAAATATCAAATGAGCCCATTCAGCCATCTTGGAGTGAAACCTTTAGAGCTAGCTATTTGCCAGGCATGTTTTTGCAAGGGATTGCTCAGGGTGCTTTTCTCGCCTTGGGAAGATGATTCTTGCAGACCTTTTAGGGATGACTAACAGTGAAGTGTGGGTTTTTTCACCCTTAAAGAGGGCAAGGCAACCAGCCAGTGTATGACTTCCAAGGCAACATATGCTCTTCCACCTGTATCTCTTATGGTGTTTGTTACATTTTTATCCTCTATGATGCATTTATTATGTTTTTTTTCAGTTAAATTTAGATTGTAGGAGGCCTGGGGTACACATGGAGATGTTTATTCAGATTCACCTCAGAAAACTGTTCTGGTACTGCAATATTTTTGTAATGCAACTGCTCTTTTATTTGTGACATTATATTTGTTTTCTCCAGGTTTATGATTGCATTAAAATAAATTTGCCAGTTGCTGTTGTTCTTTGGTAGTCTTATGGGTACTTACCAATAATAAGGGTTTCTTAACTATTTTGCAGTGTTTGTACTATCTTATTTTCTACAAAGTCCAGGAAAAAAGGCAAGAATTATTAAAGCAAAATGAGATTGTATCTTCTTTTTTGAGGATAGCAGCTGACCAAAAGAGAGCTGAGAAATGGAAAAATAAGCTGTAAAATTCTCTAAATGAACTGGACATTTTTTTTCTCTTCAGGGTGATACAAGAAAATCCAAATGCAGATCAGCTGAAACATCAATTTAATCTTTTCCCAAACCACTTGGTTTTTAATTGGTTGCACTTTAAATGTAATGATTTATATTAAAATTATTCTGCAATCATAATAAGTAGCAAGATAGATTTATGAAAGTTTGATGCTTTCCATATGCAAGGTATGGATCCCCTTACCATCTTTACCCACCCTTCCTTCCAGCTGAACCCATTTCCTAGGTGAATGATGTGGGCTATTTGTGGCAACCAAGAAAGCTTATAAACAAAGATATCCAGTGTTTTTGTATAGGAAAACGTGAATATCTTTCATGAATAAATGTTGGTAGTCTTTATTTAAGTTTTAATGTTGCTTCTTGGTTGTTGATTTCAGAGAAATGTTATGATTCATTTAGCGATGGTGGTTTTGAAATACTTGGTTTCAGAATGTCTTAAATAGTCAGCTTTTGTTTTGCAGTGGTTGTAACAACCTTAACTCTTTCCAGAGAGGCTTTCAGATGCTGAGCTCTGACCCAGAGGAGAACAGTAGCAGAGATGCCCTGGCACTTCTCTGGATAAGGTTCTGTTATAGAACCTAGAATTCCTTCATGATATTACAAGTGCAGGCTTTGAAGTGGGCATGTTCAGAAAGTTTAATAACACTGTGGTCTCTAATTTGTAACAATAATGAGAGGGAACTGTAGTGTCAGGATTTCTATTTTAAGGCTTGCATATGTAATGTGTCTCAGAATTTGAGGTATACTTAACACGATCAAGTAGTGATTGGGTATGTGAGTACGTATTACATTTTGGGTGTTTAGAAAAGCTTATTTTTTTCTGAAAAGTTTTAGGATCAGGTCTTTGAAAGGTGACATCAGTTTTCTAGACCACAGTAAGGGTAGCTTAAACTCACTTTCACAGTCTGGCAGGAAATCACTAGAGAAAGCAATGTATGCAAACTCCACTAATGACTGCCTAGCTGTCTGTAATGTCTAATCTTTTTCAAAGGAAGTCAAAGAGGTATAGGGAAAGTCTGTGCTGTTCCTAAATTTGGCTTAGCAGATCACACATTACCCAGAACATTGGCAACATGTGGAATGCTTTCCCTTCTGGTAAGTAGTTCACTTGGTTTGGATGGTGTTTTATTGGCAATAGTATTCTACTGACTTTGAGAGGCTAACAGAACACTCTTTGGTGATTGCATTCCAATTTCTAATGGAGGCTTATTGTGTGCAGACACAACTCCCCTATTTGGCATCTATTTGGATTATCTATTCACAAAAATAACAAATGAAATGGATTTGAAGGCCTTAATACTCCAGTTCTCAGAAATGGATTCCTTCTTGTCGAATAGGAGTTTGTGTTGGAGGTTGTTCTGCTGCTGCTTCAGTTTTCAGTATTGTTAACTAAGCACTTCTCATGGCTAGTAAAATTAACTTACAGGTAGTTTGCTGACGTGTGTTTTATTATGTCTGTGACATATGCAGAGCCCGAATCCTTTATTTTTAA